TCTCATAAATATCGACTTAGGAATGCGGAGCACGATCTTTATCTGCCAACCCCGAGCTCAGAACTAGTTAAAAGTTCAATACTGTAAAATGCCAAAAAAATGTACAATCATCTGCCTTTGAATATCAAGTCGCTTTCATTCTTTCCCGCATTTCGCACAGCTCTGAAATCATACTTACTGTAGAGAGCCCTATATGCGGTAAACGACTTTTTTGTTGCTGTTTAATCATGAACAATTTTGAATTTTAAAATTTTGATCATCTCACACACTGGCCAAAGGTCAAGTATTTAATATTTTTTAACTCTTAAAATTATATCTACACACACCGGAAAAGTCTAGGGATATTACAATTTTATCCAGCCATCGTCAGTAATTTTATTATTTGCATTTCTGATATAATAAAATTAAAATAAACAAATAGTTTACAGGACGTATTGGAAATAAAATGCGAAATTTACCGAATTTTTCAAATTTACCTTGATTTTTATTGAACTCAAAAAAATACACACAATTTTTTTTATTCTAAACTGTGAATTAAAAAAAAAAGATAAAACCATTTTTACTTAATAAAGGGTATGGCCTCCTCTACTGTTCATTACAGCCCTACATCGTCTCTCCATGCTCCTGATCAGGTTGTCGATCTCTTCTTGAGGTACAGCCTGCCACGCTGCGTTCATGGCCCGAACCAGATCCCTACGAGCTTCACGAGGCATACCCATTCTCAAAATTCTTCTTTGGAGCGAGTCCCATACGTGCTCGATGGGGTTGAGGTCAGGAGATTGTGCCGGCCAGGGTAAGATGTTTAATTGATGAGCATTGATAAACTCACTTACCACTCTGGCTGTATGAGGCCGTGCATTGTGATGCATGAAAATAAAGTTTCTCCCAAAATCATTGGCATATGGTAACACGACAGGCTCAAGAATTAAATCACGATATTTGATTTCTGTTAGAAACCTTTCAAGAAAAACGAGATCGGTTTTTCGGCCTAACTGGACTCCTCCCCAGACCATAACTGTTCCACCTTGATAAGGGTGCATTTCCTGAACATGATCCAACCGAATAAGATTTCCCGGTTGTCTCCATACCCTAAGCCTTCTCGAATCCGGATGAATTCCAAAGCGTGACTCATCAGTGAAGAGAACATTGGCCCATTGTTCATTCGACCACTGAACATGATCTTGGGCCCACAAATATCGTACCTCTCGATTTCCTCTCGTTAAGGGTTGATCTCTCCAGGGGCGTCTGCTTCTTAAGTTGACCTGTCTTAATCTATTGCGAACAGTGTCAGGACTAACGGTTACATTATGTGTTTCCTGGAGAATTAAACTAAGCTCTGGTGCTGTAAGAGTCGGTCGGCGTCGAGCATTTAATTGTAAAAAATGATCTTGCTGAGGGGTAGTAATGCGATGTCGCCCTGTGTGCCTTTCAGCAACCTCACCACTTTCACGGTAACGTGCACTTAATCGCGATATTACACTTTGCGTTGTATTTAATGCTCTAGCTACGTCGATTTGGCGCATTCCAGCTTCGAGCATACCCATGGCCCTTAGCATTTCGTCTCTGTTAAGATGTCTACGCTCCATAATGTCGTCTAATACTAAACAGAGTTATTTGAATGAGTTCTGGTCAGTTATCATAAAAACATAGCTAGTACAGGTTAAATTCGAACAATTATTGATGCTAGGTGCTTTTTATACATTTGACAAAAAATGCACAAACACTTCTGCAAATATCCCAAATTTAGAAATAACTAGTGTGACTACTTCGTTTCAATCGAAGTAGAAAGAATCGGCCTACAAATATGTGGTTGTTAATTCCAAACATTTATTTTTAACTTTAATAAAATGATATCCCTAGATTTTTCCGGTGTGTGTATTTACAATCCTTGATACGCCGTAATTGTCCATGTATGTTCTTTTTGTAATTTTAATTACTTAAATTTTTTTGAATTGTATGATTTGTATTGTATATTTTTTATTATTTGTATATTTTTTCGTGCTTTTGTTTGTTTCGTGAATGCTTTGTCGATGAAGCTATTTTGGCTTTTTGCATAATAAAGCGTTATTTATTATTATTATTATTATAAACATTAAATCTAAACATACAGGGTGGTCCCAATTGTATTTGGAAAACTTTGACAAAATATGTATATTCTGCGGATAGTAAAAATTTATGTTTTAAATGCTTCGTTTCTCATACAGGGTACATTTGGGTGTTTTTTGAATTGAGAAATTCGGTTTTGATGTCAGTATGTCTCCTATATTTATAGGAGGCGCCACTTACATTTAAAGAGTATCTAATAACTTTTTGCCCGTACCTGTATTATTATTAATGCGAGGAAAAATATCTTTGAATAAGAAGACTAAGGAAGGCTAAGGAAGGACATAATGCTATCCATGTATTCATGCATGGTGGGCGGAAAAGCCGCCATAAAAGCTCTCTAGGGTGGGGATCCTTGACAGTTCTGTTTGACGATTCATTTGACACATTTGAATTTGATTTGAAATTTTGTGGATTTGCCAGTCTTTACGGAGCTTATTTTATGTTATGTATTATTTATTCTACTACTGATAGTTGTATAAAGGTAGTAAATCTAGATGGAAATTGTGGCAGAATTTAAATTAAGACACTATCGCGATTTATCGAAAAAGACTCTAAAATAGTTGGTTGTGTAGCGTGCGGTAGATCTCGGCAAAAATTGAGTGAAATAATGGAACAACTTTTCGCTAGTAAGTGACTATATAATATACATACGTGTAGTAAACCGATCATTTATGAAATTCACTTAAATTAACTAAATTATATATTTTTCTTGCATTTTAGCTTTTATTTGTTACTTGTCAAAGATGTCAAAGAATTTAGATACGTTAATTTGACTTACCTGCTTCAGTAGCGTATCGGATGTTTGTGTTAATAAATACTTATTATAACTTATCTATTTTTATTAGAATTATATATTTTTATAACAATTTTAATAACTACCAACATTTATTCACAACGTAAAATAAAACAACAAATTATTGAGTCTACCCCACGTCTACCCTAATATCATAGTTTTACATTTTTTAAATAAAATTAGAACGACACTGATAAACCGGAATTTAAGTCGGCCATATTTGAGGCCCATCGCGGTGTACCTAAGATTTTTGATATGCTCCTTCCTTAGTCTTCTTATTCAAAGAAAAATATCAATTTCCGCCATTTTTAATGCCAAAGAAAGGTAAAAATCGCTACGAGCAACTGTTCTCGAGATCTATAGTGGAGTGCTTTAAGCCCTTAGGAGATACAAACCTTGGAATTCATTTACTGTGAACGAATTTTTATAAAACTTTTTGCATTGTATTGTTAATAAGATATATTACATAAGTTTACTTATTTAAATTCGTTGCTTTCACTTTACTATTTAAATAAACACACACATATACAAACGCATACATACAAGATGGCTCCGTTTTCCGGAAAAACTCTGTATCAGGATTCCTATTTCTGATTTTCACTCCAAACCTTTTACAAAATATATGTTTAATAGTAGTTCACATTTAAAAAATATTTTTATAGATATACAGGGTGAGTCAAATATATATCATTTATTTATTCGAGTTCAGTGAATTTGCTATAAAATTCTGGTTCCAAAAATACCTTAATACCATAGAGTATATTAAATGGTCTTTGAATTATGAGCACGTCCATAAGGACGTCCATATAGACCTCCAGGAACCTTCCTATGAGAACTTCTAATCGAGACGATCGACTTATTGTAAGTTTATCGCTAAGAAACCGCCGCGCCGTTTGTCAGCTTTTCAAATTGATAATGAATTGCACTTGAGAACCGTACGTATTAACTAACGGACTACAAGAAGAAGATTAAATGAAGCAAATCTTATGTCAAGAAGGCCTGCTTCGGGACCAGAACTTTCTAGATGTGTTGACTAGGCCCAAAAGCAAAGGCATGGTCTTAATGTAAAAATTACGAAAAATGTTAGTGCCTTCTTTAAAACCGAATATTTTCAACAAAAATAAAGCTAATGAGATTAACGAAAAAACAAACCATCGAGAAAGGATGTATCTAGATGATAAAATAATTTTTAAATTTCTTGCTGTTTTAACATATTTCACAGGGTGTTTCAAACTTTCATCAAAAATATCAACATTTTATTTTCCCTCGTATAATTAACGGATGGGGAGTTTCATTTTTAATTTAGAAAAAGATACTAAGAATTCAAATAATTTGGCAACACACTGCTTAAAAAATCATCAAAATCGGTTCATTAAAATAAAATATATTAACCTTTAAAATACATCAAAGTTTAAAGGTGCACATTTTTCGTGCCGGTGATTGTATTTCAAAAACTATACATTTTAGTCATGTACTTTTCTAATGAAACAAACCTTTATTTTTTTACTAGAATCCAAAAATCAATTAATATATAGGGTGTTTGTTCTATTACAAAAAAACATAACTTTGATGTGTAACTTTTTTTGGGGACACCCTGTAGAACTCTACATAATTTTAGAAAATACTTTAAATTGACTTACATAAGCTCAGAAAATTTCACTTCAATACAAACTTCTGTTCTCCTTGCAAAAACCGCGTCGTATAATGACGCGCCACCCTGTATAATTCGATTTCAATCAAAATTTCAATGATAAGAATATAAGCAGAATAGGTATAGCTTATGTATTAGATTTATTTATTTCAATAAATTTACTTAGAAAAAGAATTAAAAAAATAAAAAAATTAAGAAGGAAATAATTAAGAATTTACTAAAATTACTAAAATAAAAAATTAAAAGCAACGAAAAAAAATGGATAAACATTTTAGTATTTTATCTATAAAACACAATACACATTAATACATTGACAGTAATTGAATTCCGAGGTAAAAGTCTCTGGGCACTCCACTACTATGGAATCGAAATAGTCAATACATTTATTTCATCATTGACAAAAATAAACACGTTGACTAGATATATAATAAGCCTTTATTTTATTCATAGGTGTTGATGTAACTGCCAATCAAGAGGAGATCTCCGATCATGAGACTTTCCAGCTTGAATTCGATTGGAGTACCAAAAGATGGTACATTCGCACAATGCAGGACAAGTACTGGACCTTAGAAACGGGAGGTGGTATTCAAGCATCAGGAGATAAAAGGTACAACCCTGTATTTGAATTCAATCCAACGATTCTTTAATAGAAATAGTTTTTTTTTCCTTTTTTGTTTTTTTTTCAATTTAAATCTTGAAAAATGGTCTGGATTTTCTGTCCCGGAAAGTGAAATCTACAAGATTACAATACTTGAAGTTATACTTTAAATTGAGAATTCAAATCAAAATTACCTATATTTCATACCCAATTAAACTTTTAGTTACGTAATTGAAGGCGCGATTTTTAAATTCAATGTCGCCAACCATGGACATATTGGAATTCAAATTTCCCGCTGGGGATTCAGGTGGTAGCTCTGCTGTAAAAAATGCCAACTTGCCACATTTATTTATTTATTTCCTGACTGTTTTTGACACTCTAGTTTTGTATTACGAGTTTTTGGTTTAAATGAATTGTGTTGTCAAGAATAGTTAACCTAATAGGACTGCAAAATAAAAACAGCGAAACGCGCGTCCAATGTAAAAGTAAAAGTGTTTTGGTGTATTGTGGTGATTTAGTGTTTTTATTTTGCTGTGTAACACCAAAGGTTCCAACCCTCAACTGAAATCTAATAGGACTGCTTATTCAGCCGAAAGTGTCTGCCAGGTGCATGCAAAAACTCTTCACTTTCTGACGTCATTGTAGTCTTTGTCATGATAGTGTGTGTATTATTGGTTGCCGTATGCAAAACATTTATTATTTAGTTTATTTATTTAAACACCTTATATTATGTATGCAGCATAGAAAATTAACTGTATAAATCGTACTAAATACTCGGATAATGCATTTTTAAGAACAGTAGTTCCCGGCATCACCTTTTTCAGGCATTCTTTTTAGAGTATTTCCATATTTTGCTTTAAAATTGTAGCGTTTTTATAAAACATTACCACTGCGAACGGCAGCTTTTCATCGGAGAGCAGTCGTGGATAAGGTATTTCACTGGAAAGAACTAATTAATAACAATAAACAAAAAATACAGATATTGGGCGCCAGGCATGTACAGAGAAAGAAAACACAGTTGTATATTACTTAAAACTAATGGCTATATTTATTCATGATGAATTCTGATAGTAAATAGCATTGTACAATTTTAATAATTATTACAGTGGTTAAATACTATTACAAGGCGTAATGTAATGAAACCTAAGATCTAAATCATATTGTAACTACTAAATCGACATAAATGTTCTTAATAATCTAACCACTAAATATAGTCTGTACGATATTATTTAAAATGTACGTTATTAAGTTAAGACTGAAAATCGACTGAAAATCTGAACCTAAATCTACACTTAGCTGTTCTTGAGGCAATCCTGTTTCGAAGAGTAGCAGCGTGAGGTAGGCTCATATCTCTGTGCTGTCTGTCGGCGATCCTGTTGGGCAAAACAACAAAAGGGGCCAGAATGAGGACACCATGAATCAATACAGCCGTAGCTACTGACTAGGCTTAGAAATGGGAGCGAAGCAGCATGGGGCTTACGCTGTATCCATACTGTGGCAACATGGGGACACTACCCGTACCTTGGAACACTACTAGGACCTTGGATAATGTCCGTAGCTTGGACCATAACCTTGGACACAGTCCGTCCATAAGACAACGGTACAGGGGAACACTACCCGTACCTTGGATACTACTAGGACCTTGGATAATGCCCGTACCTTGTAAATAGTCCGTATCTTGGACCATAAAAATATGAAACTCTTGTTTAAAACCAAACAAGGTCTAATAAACAAAATAAACCTACCTCGAATTACTTCCGAGGGCTCAATAATAAACAAAGAATCTGTCCTTTCTTCCATGTAACATTCTGGAGGACAAAAGAAAAGGGACGCCAACGTGCCAGCAAAATACAAATACAAGTTAAGTTGGGACATCCAAAACTCTACCCTAAAAATATGCAGTAATAATATCGAATCTAAAAGGATAATATCTCATCTTTACCTGTTGGTTTGAAATAGCAGCTGATTCAGATTATACAGCAAGATTTAAATAATCACATTTCTAAAAGCCGGGATGGTTAGGTTAGGCTACAGAGCGCCAGTGTTCCCAACTCTCAAAAATTTATCTCCCTAAAAATCTAAAACGCTCGCATCAAAAATCCCCAAAATATCCCTAAAAACCTAAAAAAATATCCCGAAAAAACCCTAAAAATATAAATAATAATAAATAAACAATTTGTTGTGTTTTAAGTGGTTGACCTTGAAACGTCTAATCACAGCAATGTAGCCAACTTTTCGAAACTTTCCATTAAAGCAATATCAAACCTTCTTAAATCCAAACAACTAAAATCCCCACAACTGTTATCCAAGATTCGGTGATTAAAATAAATAAATTATTTTGTTTTATTTATGCTTTCCTATTAATTTTGAAAAATAGCAGTAGCGGTCTTATCTCCTCTTTGGTAGTGGTAAAATTCCATTGAAATTTTATCCCTAAAAATATCCCCAAAAAATTTTACTCCCTAAAAAAATCCCCATATAGATTTTTTCTCCCCAAATTTAGGGATAAAATCCCGGAGTTGGTAACACTGCAGAGCGCTAAAAGCAAAAGTCAGTCCACAGCACAGAGTGTTGACAGAAGCGATGTGTTGACAGCGCCTCCACAGAGCGATAACAATGAACGTATTTATAAACTCTATAACTCTAAAAACTTTACAAACACCTTTTTCACATTTAAAATCGACAAAATAGTTAACTCAAAATTTCTCAGCTGTTATTTTTATTAGTTTACCATAGTCAACCAATAATACACACTATCATGACAAGGACTACAATGACGTCACAACTGTCAGCTGAAGCGCGGGAAGATGCGAACGCAAGAACGATAAACTAATAGGATTGCCCATCCTCATAAGACGTACGTTCGCCTCTTCCCGCGCTTCAGCTGACAGTTGTGACGTCATTGTAGTCCTTGTCATGATAGTGTGTATTATTAGTTATATATGGTATACTTATAAAAATAACAGCTGAGAAATTTTGAGTTAATTATTTTGTCAATTTTAAATGTGAAAAAGGTGTTTTTAAAGTTTTTAGAGCTATAGAGTGTATAAATACGTTCATTTTGTGTTGTGGATTGTGACAAAGTGCTTATACTAAGTGCCTACGATATTGTTTATTAATTATTTTAAAGCAAAATATGGAAATACTCTAAAAAGAATGCCTGAAAAGGTGATGCCGGGAACTACTGTTCTTAAAAATGCATTATCCGAGTATTTAGTACGATTTATACAGTTAATTTTCTATACTGCATACATATAAGGTGTTTAAATAAATAAACTAAATAATGAACGTTTTGCACCCGGCAACCAATAATGCACGTGTGTGTATTATTGGTTGCCGGATAAGGACTAATAACCATGACAAGGACTACAATGACGTCACAACTGTCAGCTGAAGAGGCGAACGTACGTCTTATGAGGATTAGCAATCCTATTAGTTTACCGTTCTTGTTGTGTTGTGATACTTTAAGGTTAAAACATTTTTACTAGCAAACTTTGCAGTCGAACATTGCTCCTTTAAGAACTTCTTTTAGTGCGAAGTGTACAAGATAGCTTAATAGCCGTTTTAAAAAACTCATCGCAAACCTTATTAGAATATTTTGAACGGGAAAGCGATAGTAACGGTCTTTTATGTCCCTTAAGTGCTATTCTTCTTAAGGTGCCGTGCAGATTCCTGCGTAGGCGTTCATCTTTTTCTTCCTCATCAGATGGTTCTGTTAACTGCCGCGACTTGGAGTGCTTGGAAGTCCTGTATGCCTGTCCAATGACGAATATTTCTCAGCCAGGATAGCTTCCTTCGTCCTATCCCCCTTTTGCCCCCCTCTATTTTACCCTGGAGAATCAGACGCTGAAAGTGATAGCGTTCTCCACGTAGTATGTGTCCCAAATAGGCTATTTTCCTCTTCTTGATGATTTCGAAGAGTTCACGTTGTTCCAGACCAGCTCTTCTGAGAATGTCTTCATTCCTAACACGGTCGACCCAGGGCACTCTTAGCATTCGTCGTAGGGTCCACATTTCGAAGGCTTCAATTCGGTTTATTGTTGCTACCTTCAGTGTCCATGCTTCCACACCATATAACAAAACGGACCAGACATAGCACTTCACCATTCTGTATCTAAGGCCGAAGTTCAAATTCCTATCTGTGAGAAATCTTCGCAGTCTCAGAAAAGTAGGTCTTGCTTGTTCGATCCTGCATTTGATTTCCTGATCCGGATCCCACGTTTCGTTAATCATGCATCCCAAATATGTAAATTGTGTGACCTGCTTGATGACCTCACCATTTAAGTAAATTCTGGTGTGCGGAATATTGTTTCTGGTAACAGCCATAAATTTAGTTTTTGTAGTATTTATGTTTAAACCCAGTCTTTGACTTTCACTGTTTTTAGAAGGATTTGGAGATCATTTGCATTGTCTGCCAATATCACTGTGTCATCCGCATATCGGATATTATTAATTGGAATGCCATTTATTTTCAAACCAATGAGACTATCGGAGATTGACTCAGTGAATGCTCTTTCCACATATAAATTGAACAACATTGGAGACAGAATACACCCTTGCCTTACCCCCTTTTTTATTTCAAAATCTTCTGTTACTCCTACGCTATGTATACGAATTTCAGCTTTTTGGTTCCAATACAAATTACTGATGAGCCTTATATCTTTTCCATCAAGTCCCAAGTTTCTGAGGTATGATACAAGGAGGTTATGTTTAACATTATCGAACGTCTTTTCATAGTCTATAAAGCACATGAAGACATCTTTTCTCTGATCTTGGCAATTCTGTACTAAAGTTTGAAGACTGAATATGGCTTCTCTAGTACCAAAGCCGTTCTTAAATCCAAATTGACTTTCTCCACTTACTTCCTCACATTTTTTGTAGAGTCTTGTATGCAGTACCCGTAAAAAGAGCTTAAGAAAGTGGCTCATTAGACTAATAAGACGATACTCTTTACACGAAGTTGCGTTACTTGACTTGGGTAGCGTGATAAACGTAGAACGAAGCCAGTCTTCAGGGATGTGACCGGTGTCATAGATGTTATTGAAAAGCTGTACTATAGTTGTAAGTTTTGTTCATTAATTAAGTGGAACGTTTCCGAATACATATCATCAGGCCCTGGAGTTTTGTCGTTTTTCATTAATCTAATCGCATGAATAATTTCACTTTCCAATATGCTTGGTCCTGATGGCATGGGAATCTCAGTTGCAGGGTTTTCTGATCTTTCGTCGTTGAAAAGATTAATGGTATACTTTCTCCAAGTTTGCAATAGTTCTTCTGTTTCCGTTATAATTTTATTTTCATCAGTTTTAATTAGGGTTATTGATTTATTATGGTGTAACCCAGCTATCTCTTTCACTTTCTTGTGAAGATGGAAACTGTGACTCCAAGGTGACCATGTCTCTTTTGCCGTTCTTATTTTATTACGAATTTTTTTTTGCATAGATTTATATTCGTTGTGATTATTCTGGATTTTAAATTGTCTTCGTTGTTCCATCATTTTTAAAATATCTTCACTAATCCACTCGTTTTTCGCTGTTGTTCGATTAGCCGTGAGGAGGTTTTCATTTGTGTTCTTGAAAGCTTGCTTAATGCCCAGCCAATGTTTCTCAATGTCATTTGTACTGACAATACTTTCCAAATGAAAAAAAAATGCAATTAAGTGCTATTAAGGAGGTCAATTTTGTTGATGTAATTAATAACAGTTTATATATTTATAATTAATTGATTATTATTATTTCCTAAAAGATTTTGATTAAAAGAAAATGCAACGCTGTACCAGTCAAGCTTTATCACTTGACTAAAATTTTATTTGGTATAGCTTATAGTAAAATATTCAAACCTTCTGTATAATTATGCTTTTTTGTTTGTTTTCAGATCATCCAACGCCTTGTTTGATCTCGTTTGGCAAAACGACGGATCTGTGGCATTCAGGGCCAATAATGGTAGATACGTCATCACGAAACGAAGCGGCCATTTGTTCGCAACCAGTGACGTCATCGATGACGATACATGCAAGTACTATTTCTACCTGGTGAACAGACCCATACTGGTGCTGAAGTGTGAACAGGGCTTCGTGGGGTATAAGGCTGCTGGAAATGCCAAGCTGGAGTGCAATAAGGCTACTTACGAGACTATTCAAGTGGAGAGGGGAGATAAAGGCCTAGTATACTTTAAAGGTATGAACTTTTTTCTCTTTCTGTGATAAACATTGTTAAAATATGTAGAAGGAGTATTTAATGTTTTTTTTCAATAGCAACTATTAAAATTGCCTTATATCTATGAAAAATAGTAGATAAAATAGTACTTTAACCACAAGGGTAGATTAAATGATATTTTAACAGCGAGGATAGGTTGAAAACTTTATTTCTTCTCGCACGTTTTTTAATTGCTTCCATTTTTGAAAATTTTTGTATTCCTTTTCATAAGTTATTTGGGATCTAAATGGAAGTAGATTGGATATGGCGTTTGTCGCCTGAGATTCCCCTTTCGAAGATTCACGATAATCTCCCTATAATTCAACCCCTGACAAAATTTCCTCCAGATTTATACACATTGCATTTTTTTTCTTTTTGTTTCACAGGCCAAAACGACAAATACTGGCACGTTGACAGCGAAAGTGTCAACGCCGACTCAGATACACCTGTAGGATTCTATTTAGAACTGCGCGAACCTACGAGACTTTGTATTAAGACTACATCAGGAAACTACCTAACTGCCAGCAAGAACGGTTGCTTTAGACTGGGAGATAGTTCAGTAGAACACGCTACACAGTGGGAGTACTAAACGAAGTCTACATCTACATTATTGGTTTCGATTTTAAAAATGTTTTTTTTTTCATTTTTTCCTCTACTTAACATGAAAAAGATTTATACTTAATTTTTGTGATATGCTTTTTGGAGCTTCATGTAGAAGAAAGGAACGTATTTTTGATATTTTAGTTCAACATATGTTATACCGGATGTTTAATTATTTCTGTTTCAAAAATAGGTATATGTTTGTTCTTCTAAATTTTGATACAAATATTTTTTTTCTTCTAATGGAACATGGGTATTAATACACCCGGTATATGATGCGTAATTTTTATAATATTATTAAATCAAGACACTAGAAAAAAATTAACAAAATACAAAGTGTCTGATATATCGCAATAAACTTTTTATATTATTATTATTTATATTTTACATTTTTATATTATAATAAATTATTTATTTACTTGATTTATTTCCTATTTATGGTAAAGAAAATAGGATATTAGATTCATAGAATAAAATTTCATAAATATCCTGCCAAAAAATAAATTTTTACATTTTTGAATCCTATTTTCTTTGTCCGTGATTTTGAATCATATATAGTACTGAAAAAAGAAGCCAAATATTTAAGTAACTGCCAATTGAATATGATGGCCTTACTTACAATTTTTAACGTCAAGTCACTTAAGACGGGTTCACACCTGTCAGTTTTACTGAAGCAGTGTGAATGCCAGAACACATTTTCATTGAAACTGATAAGTATTTTCAAACTTTCAGTAAAAATGCGACAATTCTTTCAAAAACAAGGGTTCAAAAATCAATTTTGTAACAAAATCAAAGCACGTAAACCCTAATATTTCTAGATTTTCTGAAAGTACTTAAAATTTTCTACAAACACTGGGATTTTCAAAAATGAATGATCAGGTTTACTGTGTTTCTAAGAGCATTAAAAACGGGTTAAAAATTAGTCAAAATGAAAATTGACGACTTTCATGGCGCTGATTTTGTTAAAACTGCTGTTATTTGCTAAACAAATGGCGTAGAATAAGGTAATATTGACCGTTGTGTAGTCTTGGGAGAACAGTAATGGATGTAGGAGACGTTTCATCATCCAAAAAAAAACTACCTACTAACGTAGAGATTTTCATAATTTTATGCCTTTCTTTACTATGTTTCTATGGTCTTTGAAAATGTGAAAAAAAATAACCAAAAATGCGCATTTTTTACTTTTCCTATACATATAGCCATAAAAATTGGCGTTAAACTGCTATTCTCTGAATAACTCAGATTGCTTCAGTAAGACCGTCTGGTGTAAACCCACCTTTAGACAGTATGTACTTATTAAAGGAACTAAATATTTTTTAAATGCAATATAAAAAATATCCTTAATTATATTTATATACATCAGCTATGATAGAATTTATTGGGACTGTGTATTCTTAAAAACAAATAAATCCAAGACCTCTATTACTCTTGGATTTATTTTAAAATAAACTTATGTATTGTATATAAGCAATTATGCTTTTATTGTATTTACTTTTGTTTCACGAATAATATTTTTGAATTATGTATTTATATAGTGTATCTCTGCAAGGCGCTGTTTTTTTACCAGATATGATGCATTTAAAGCTCAAAGTTAGTCTTTTTTACATATCCCCAAATGAGGCGTGCATGCCTGTGCTGGGATTTTCTTAAGATATTTTTATAGCTTTTTTATATAGTAATAATACGCGTGGGTATGTAAGTAAACGTTTTTTTGTATGATATATTGTAGCTAAATAAGTAATTATAATCATGGTATAAGAGAGTTGTTGTTTTATTTAATTTTTATTCACCTAATTAGCAGTATAAAAAATAGTCTTTATATAACTTCTTTGCAGAGGGTGTTAATCTTTTTTTGGTATAATATAACAACAAAAAATTAACACCCTCCGCATAGAAGTTGAAACCAATGCAATCAAAACTCTTCCGCGTAACTTTGTGGATATAGGTAGTTATATTTAATTATAATCGCCATGTTATGTCTAATTATTTCGGACACAGGCCGAATTCGGCATCTGCTTCCAACATATACATCAAGTATATCTTTGTTTGACAAAAAAAAAGATTTTTTTTTGTTTAATAAATTAGATCTTGTTTTTTTCATTCAATATTAAAGGGTTGTTCTTTGTCGGAAATGTTGCACCCTGTAATGCATATGTGTATGTCCTTTTTTATGTTTGCACCTAGTATCCTATCTTTATACAGCTATACAGACAATTGAAGCTTTAATATATACAGGGTGTTTCAAAACAAATGCGAAAAACTTCAGGGGGTGATTCCTTGTTAAAAATAAAGGGTAGTTTGCTTTATAAACGTTGGGTCAAAAGTCAACCATTAGGGAGATATCGCGGTACAAAGATGGCGGAGAAATAAGGTTTTAATTTTTTATCTTGAAAACGAAAAGAGATAGGCTAATGAAATTTTATTTAAGCATTACTGTTATGAAAACACACTTTCTGGTAATTTTTTCACTTTTTTAAAATGAGTGGAAGGGGTTGAAATAAACTACACCTATCATTCTTGTTAACGAAATTTAAAGAAAAGTCTTATCAAACACATGCAAAAAAAATAATTTGGATAGTTTAGTTTGTTTAGAAACTTTTTTATCTCTTGTGTTTTTTTGATAAAACTCACCGATTTGAAATTAAAAAATAAAATGTAAAGCATTACATGTCAGGACAAAAACATTTTTAGATAAAGAAAAAAGGCTTCGGAATAATTAATCGTAAGATAATAACGTATTGCAGTAGAGTAATGTCAAATAAAATAATATTAGAAACACCCTAAAAAGTGACAGAGGCCGACTAGATTTTTTCCTAAAAAAATTACAGCAGCCCACTAGATTCTTTAGAAATTTATAGATGCACGGTTGTCACAATGACGTGAAAAAGCTTAAATTTCAAGATTTTTTAAAGAAGTGGCTACAACAGGGTCAATGGCCACAAATGGTGCATCTACCCTAAAGCTGTAAGCATAGTAGATTAAAAAGTTATACCGTGGGTAAATTTGCGGTGAACAGGCAGTTACAGTTACAGTTACAGTAAATTTGCGGTGAACAGTACAAAGTTTTCTAAAATATAAAGGAACATTTTTAAAAAATGAACGATTTTCAAGGCGGGTAGCTTTCCCTGAAAGCGCTAGAGTAATATCGCGCTTTTGATAACTGTCTGCCGCTTATTTAGCCACGATCTTTTTGTCTGCTCTTCTGCATACGGCTTTTAAAATGAATAAATATGACATTCCACAAATCGGCATGCATGTGAGCCATATTTTTTTTTCCAAAATTTCATGCCTGGGTCCTTTCGCGTTGTCCGCCGGCATTTTAGCGACAAGAAAAATGTCTGCCAACAATTTTTCACGTTCCTTATTAATAAATAAAAGCTATATTTTCGCAATTATAACTCGTGTACCTTATAATACTTTTAGCGTCAAAATTTCACCCTTTCGATTGGGCATCCCCGCTTTAAGCCCCGAGATCGCGCTGGCAGATATGACTATTTCATAATGGCTACACATAAGGAGACTTCACAAGAAAAATTAGCCATGTAACGATGATAAGGTTTTTTATGTAGGCAGCTATAGACTATAATAACATAAAAGAAATCTGTTTTTTTTTGTACGTGTATTTCTGGTTGTATAAGAAACACAGCTCTTATTCTATATAATATAATTATTTGAATTTTCGAAGTAATTTATTAGATATTTTTATACAGTCTTTCTCTACATTTCTACATTTGTCAAGATAGTCTTAGTATTTTTTTAGACATAAAATTAAAATTTCAAAAATAGAGCAAAACTAAATTTAAGTAAAGTCAATGAAAATATATTATTAATTTGTTGAATAATTTAACAGCAAAATAAAACACTAAATCACAACAATACACCAAAACACTTGTACTTTTACACTGGACGCGCGTTTCGCTAACCATGTTAGCATCATCAGCAGATGATTATAAACTAAAGTACAATCTACAAGCTGTTATAATAATCTGCTGATGATGCTAACATGGTTAGCGAAACGCGCCTCCAGTGTAAAAGTAAAAGTGTTTTGGTGTATTGTGGTGATTTAGTGTTTTATTTTGCTGTGAAACACCAGGGACTGTGTTTATGGTTCCAACCAGGGATGCGCCAAGTATTTTCGGCGCCGTCGTGCGAAATACGGGTAGGCGCCTTTCTCCAATATTATAATATTAAGCCAAAATTCCCAATGACCAGCGCTCAGTGCTTCGAACATATGGCTCTAGAGGACAAAAATCCAAAACTTCTCTTTTATTGTAAGCAATTTATTCAAACTAGGTTTATCTGACACAAATGATGAGTACTCTCATTGTACTAAATGATGATGTTCTTAGTCCCACGTTTATGAAAAAAAATCTTATAAATAATAATAATGTTGGAGCTGTGTTCCATCTAAGCAAATAATAAGTTATAGTATAAACGGTGTAAGTATTAAATAAATTCCTGTGATAAAAAGATTTGAAATAACATTAGAAGTCCAGACCGTTATATTTTATCCAACTCAAAAAATATTTTTAATTATATGTCTGTTTGAAAAGTTTCAAATGAAGATATTACACTGACTTAATTTAAGCCTAATATAAGATAAAAATGTTTTTCTTTAATGAAAAAAGAAACATTAATGTTATATTTAATTATAAAAAAACTAAAGATACTATAAATTTACTTTAGGACAACAAAATGCATAGATCGTAACAAACTCTGATTCAGGAGAATCACTGCTGACAGATCTTCACAAATTTATAGTAGCCAAATAAATAGGTAGATTAGTATCCTCACATATAAGATATTTCTGTACAGCATTTTCCTAATATGTTACTTTTTCGCGTTGTTACTGTTCATTTTGTCGGTATGAGGGGTTCGGGTGTTAATAGTTACCTCTTTAATAGACCATATCCATATATCTTGCCCCCTTTTTCTTGGGTATGAGATTTCCATATAATAAATTACTAAAAGATGGATACTTTTTTTATGCGACGTTTCGCTCCAACATAGTGGACTTTTTCAGGCACAAGT